TTTTTCCTGGACTGTCCCAATTCTGAACAATAGAGACGTTTTCTCTTGCTTGGTATTGTAAATGTAGCTTTTAAACTTTAGACTTGATTCTTTCCGGAAATGAAATCTGTCCATATACACTAATGAAATGGTATTTAAAACGTGAACAAATTAATTTAATATAGGAATACATGCAGTCAAATTAATCTGTTTTCTAATTTCGTAGATCAATGTTTATATAGAATTATAGATCCGTGACCTGTTGGTTTTGACAAATGTTTTAATTATTTGTTTTGGGAAAGGCCTTGTATACTTCTTTCTAACTTGTGCCAAATTTAATCGTTGTTTATTACGGTGATGTATTCAAATATTTTAGGAATAATAAGACGTATATATAAAAGGACACAACATTTAAATAGTTATATGTAAATAGTGAATCATAAAAAATGAACATGCAACCTTTCCGACCTCAACGTTAACAGTATTTTTGATTTTGTAGTGTATTACGGTATTTCTACTGGTAAGGAATTAAGAACGTTCGTCTGCTACTTAACGCTGTGTTGATTTTCGTTTGAGGGAGTGCTTCGCGCTTATCGTAATATCATGCTCATCATTTCTAGAATTAATAGCACAATGTCCAACGTCGTGGCCGTGAATAAATTAGTTTATCTTTAAACTTAAAAAAATGAGAGAAGCAAAACGTTCGTTTTTCTACAGAGTTCACGGTAAGGATGAAATACGACGTTAATGGAAGTTCTGTAAACATAAGGATAACGTTAAAGGAGAAAAAAGATCTCACTTCTGAAAATCAAACTGCTGAAAATTTCTGAAAATAAATAATGTAGATATCATAACAATGATTTGAAAACAAATACATATTGGTAGAATTAAGAATCATGCTTTTATTTACGACAATACAAAATAAAATTTAATTCAATAACTTAAAAAGATTGAAATTATCAAATAAAGATACATTTAAATTAAAATGGATATAGGATTGTGTTTCATATATCACTATATCTTTGATTTTAACTTTTTTTCCATGTAAACTTGAATTATGATTTCATGAAATTTACCAATTTATTTTTAAATGCTTATTTTTTTTTATTTAAAAAAAATTGAAACATTTCAATGCAAAGATCATATTTCATAAGAAGGACTAAAACATGGGTTTATTCAAATGACTTTAAATCATCATAGTTTAAGTTTTTATTTATTTATTTTTTTTTTTTTTTTTTTTTACAAAATTAAGAATTTTTGAAAAAATATTGTTTTCGCCTTTTCGTTGTTAAATGATCTGACCAAACCTTTATACTTACCTTTCGAACACATTGCTTGTGGTCGTTTTGGATTTGGTCAGTGGCTGCAGATGAACCCCAGTGGTCAAACAATTGTCCAGTGCCCAATTTCTCTTTGAGATCTAGAAAAAGAAAGATTCATAAACTAATTGTCACTAATTAAATCTTTTTGAGTGTATAAAAACAACGTTGCAAATGACAAAAAAATACTAAGAATTGATTTAATGGTGGCATATAATTTAAGATGGTATATACCACAAAGAAATTCAGCTATATGAAGAAATTTGACTTTTAGTGGCATTTTTGTCTTCAAATGTTTCGGCCAAGAAGAATGCACAGGCATATATTTAGGCATTGCATGAATTTGGATTAGAAATGAGTTCAGCAGATAATGAAATGTTTTCTTAAAAAAAATGAAATACATGTTTTGCATGTAGGTATCATTATAAGTAGTTCATGTTGGCCTCCATACATAATATATTTACATATTAGCATGCTCGGTAAAGCACAATCCATTCTGTGACCCTGTCTGTGCTAAAAAGTTACTGCAAAACTGCACTGTTACACACCGTTTCCAAACTCTCCCGGATCATTTCCATGTTGATTCAACGTAGATTAAACCTTCATCGTCTAAATCCGCGGAAACAACCACTGTCATTCATTGTATAATCCGTAGTTGACTGTCATCGGATATATAACATCTACACTTTGTTACGTGGATAGAACTGTTTCTGTTCGATGACTCATGCATGAGGTAATTTCTATAATTTATTAGTAATTTCCAGGCTCCGTTCCCGGAGTTTCTCCGGAACACATAGCAGCATGTCTCTTTCCCTAACGCTGTAACAGCGCGAGCACTCACGGAAAGGATGAGTCATACCTCACGTTTGTAGGTTATATATATTAGCTAACAGTTAAACATTACGTAGGGGTATTGTTACGGGACGCTCAAACGTAGTGATAGAAAACAGCAGGAAAATCGCCGAGAAATCGATTTTTTTCACGGTAGAAACAGGATTTGTTATCATCATTAATGAGTGTACATGTATGTCTTTTTGAAAAGTTATTAGGTTGTATATAATTTCAAACATTTTAAAATGTAGATCGGGTATTTCAGTCTATACTTTTTAAAAAATGAAGAACTGTCGGATAGCAAATTTGATATTTCATGCCGTGCGGCACACTCTAAGAGAAACAAATTGTATGAAATGTCCAAAGATAGTTTATGCTAGGTGTTGTTTCTCTCCACTGGTCTGAAACTTAGAATCAGAATTTTGAAAGACCACATTAATTTTAATTCCCTGTTAAAATAATAAGACTAACATTCTTCAAGGACCAAAGTATACGATACTTTAAAAATATCCCTGAATAATATGACGATTCCATCTTTCTAAATTGGTACACGTATAACGTCAGTCGCCATAGCTTACAGCACAAATATCATTTTATAACCAAACTGCGGAATGGCGTGGTGGCAACGTTATAGAGACTCTCCACTGACATTCCGAAATTTAATACATGTATTTTCGCTATATTTATCTATCTATCAATTGTTTTTTTTTTATAAAATCGTAAATAGCAGCAACCAATAAAAATGTTATGAGATATGGAAGATTGTCTAAAGTCGATCGGAAATTTCAAGATGGCTATCATGCATATTGATATAATGTGATGAAAACTGAGGTAGAACTTTTTGTTTCTCAATGTTGGGTTTCATATTTCATTGATCTTAGCTTATTTAAGATAGCACAGGTAAGATATTTCTGATGGTTTTTTTTTTCTCTATATAGAGGTATGGCGTGTAAACGACCGATTTGATCTAAATGTTACCAACAATAAAATGGCAAATAAATTTATCTTTTCGGCAAATTCGGATAGGTAATTACAGTGAACTATATCTAAATGCTAATTATCAGAAATAATACCTTAGATATGTGTCCTGTCTTATATGGATAAAACTTAAATCCTTTCATCGAAAATTGATATAGTCGATACCCAATAGTTGAAAAATAAAATTGGACCAGAAGTGTTAAGTGTTTATGCTTTCAGTCTTAAATTTATGATTAAAATGTGATTGATTTCTACATCAGTGTCTACAACACAGACGGTAAGACATTATTCCCACAATAACCGTATTTTCATAGGGTGGCACTCTGATCTTAGCTACGGACATCATGATGTTATATTTTGTTTATTTTCAATACATCTTTTTATTGAAGTAATTCAAGTAGCGAGCGTCCGCGTTGAATTTAATTCATATTCAATGCATTGTGAACCCATGCTATTATCTTTGGTGTCTGAGAGTGTTGGAGACATGATAAAATGTCATTTCAATGTTGTTCATTGTATCTTCAGGATTATAAAGATAATATATTAAGGAGTTATCTTGTCATTTTTTCCTTTCTTTACATTTCTCAGCTTTATACATTTGTAGTACTATTGCCACTTTCAGGACACACATGTGACTACGAATGCACGTCACGACAGGTCGTCATTTGTCATGTATTTTCAGTTCAACCAAGACGATTAACAGAAATACTCCGTCACGGTTAAGCGCCATACCTCTTTACAACTTCAAGGCGAGATGCCAACTCTAACAATGATAAACGTGTATATCGCAACACAAGACCCATCCTTTCTTCGAACCATCATAATAACAATAAATAATGATAATAAATAAGTACGCAATTAAACAAATTGAAATTGGATTAATTTTCCTAATATCTCTACCTATAGACAATTCTATTGCCTGCGGTTCCACCTCTGCTCTTGTCTTGTGTGACTAAGGAAGTCGAGATCGCGAATTAAGCGTCTCGTGTTGTAGTATATGTGTCCTTTCACAAAACACTTAACCGCAATTACTCTGCATTGTATGTGGCGGGCCTCCCGCATGATGCTCAATGAAGAAGCGATTTTACTTCAAAAGTAGCACGAAGTAGTTCTCGGAGCAACCTAATTGGGCGTTGCTTTTTTTGATAATGCCCTTTACTTTTCCTCCCCATAGCGTATTACAAGTATAACTTTAGAGTATTCAAATATCTAAATAACAGTTTTAGACTGATTTATCTTCCCTTGTTCATTATTAACCTTATTTGTCAAATTTGCTTACTGATCTGCTAGGCATATACTTACTGTTTTTGGCAAAAAAAGAAATATATCATGGCTGTAAAATGCCCTCTCCTATAACTTTGATTTGTAGCAATGAAAATCGGGGGAGGGGTTGGGGGTGGGTGGGGGGATAGAGGGCGGGTGTAGGGGGTGGGGTGCGAGAGACAACCATGTTGGAAATCCCCTATGGACTCTCCTATGTCCTGAATAGACCCAGTTAACATGATTACACTAACATTGTCCTGTCTAAACGTATCCATGTATTATATTTTTTCCTGATTGAATATATTTCATACGTCCATGGTTTCTCAATTATTAACCAGTAAGATAAAATAACATAGGTAACTAGATACATTAGGATAGGTTCAGTCATGCTTAGTCCATGGCTTTTAATTATATTTATTGTAAAGAAACTCGACTCTCTTTTTAGGCAATGAAAATGGACTGGTCACAACCTGAACTAACACCCGCGTTAAATACATTTTGCTAAATACACCTATCATTAGCCTATCTCGAAATCTAACTTTTTCCCGCGAAATAGGAAAAGATACAGACTTCGTTTCCTCTGCGCAAGTCCAGATTTCTTTTTCCTGTTTCCGGTTACTTACCGCAGACATGGCGGACAAGTTGTCGGATATTGAACTTGTGGAAGAATTGAACCGATTCGGGGAAGAAGTGAAAAAGCCTATCGATAGGAAGAGGAGGCCCTTATTAGTTAAGAAACTAAATCATCTAAGGGCACGAGAAAATGCTTCAACCAGGGCGAAGAAAACAACTAATACACGGAAAAAACAGAACGTTGAATTCAGTTCCGAAGATGAAAGCGAAATTGAAGACGTTGCGGCGCCAACTACTGCGAGTCGGTTACCGGGTAGGAAATCACTAAGACAAAACACATCCGCATACTCAAGTATTACAGATACTATAGAAATGTCACCTAGCACTAAACGAACAAATTTCAGATCTCGACGAAGTATAACTATTGCTAAAGATCAGTCCACGCCTGTAGTTAACAACTCGAACACACCGGGTCCATCAGGTTCACCCAGATTATACCCCGATCTCAGCCGTTTTTCTGACACCGATAACACAAATTCCAAAGGAAAAGGATGGAAATACCAAAGAAATGCCAAAGACGAAGAAGATTCGTATGATTTTAAAGGTGATTTCTCCGACTCTGATCCAGACGAAAGCACATACGAGGTAGTTAACAAGTCAATGAACACAACATTTACTGTTGCCGACAGTGAAACAAGAAATGAGGAGGATGAGGACGACGATGCAGATGATGGAGAAAGTATTAATGATATCAGAGATTATAATACTAGGTTTTCAACAAGACTTCGTAATCGCCATGAAGGAAGCAAAAATAACTCAAGTAAAATAACTTCAACATCACAAACAAAAAAGAGCAAAACAGCAAATCATGTCAATTCTTTTACTGAGGAAGAAATAAGACAATATGGTTTCAAAACACATGAAGATTCACGTAAAATGAAACCACAAGTGGCAAGTTATGTTTCCACAGGGATTCTCATTATTGTAGTGGTGTTCTTTGCCTCCCTTGGAATGTTATATATGTATATGCGAGGTGATCTCCTTCATGGAATCAGTAGTGTCTTCAGCAGTGCTAGTACAGATGGTAAGAAAGTTTGCTTAGTTCCAATTACATCATTTCAATATCAATATTTATAACTATATCAGTCATGTGGTCTTACATTTCCTTTTGCTATAGTGGTATTGGCATAAATGGAAACATAGTAAAATTCTGGAAATTCATTATTCAAGATCAATTTTTGAAATGTCCATTACTAATAGGTCTTAATGGGCTGATAGGTATTATTGAATTGTTGTTTTCCCTAATTATTACCTTAATATTACATCATATAGCTAATAGTTGAAAAATTTCATCATGACATCTCACTGGGCACAGTTTGGAATGTAAATGAAAAAAAAAATTCTTTCACATTTCTGCAGTTAACTATAGGATGAAAATTGTCTGTGATATGAAATTTGTATATTGGGTTCATGAAATTTTTCAACATTATTTTTCATCCTGAGAGTTGCTTTGTTAGTTACTTAGCATATTATGAAAAATTTCAAGCTTTGAAGAATACTTTTGATACATTAATTTTATTTTACAGACTTTGTCAAGCTACCAATGTGCACAGACATGAGTGAAAATGATGTAAGTATACATTTACGACCTCATTGATTACAAATCAAAAAACAAAAACCAAATTAAACATATTCCATTATGTATAAAAAATTGGAATCAACTGCATTCAGGGTGTTTACATAGGAATTTAAGTCTTCCATTTCTTTTACAGAACAGAAACTGCTACTCTGAGGACGAGGCATCTATTGCATTGAAAATGGTCAGCACATTGGAATCCTTCTTAAAATCTAAAGCAGGTGAGTATTGGCAAATGCTACTTGGAAATGAGAAACTTTCCCAGAATCAGGTATGATAAACATTACACAGAAGATATGTACAATGCAAGTGAAGGTCCAACAAAACCGTTTAGCACCAACTGACCAACTCTGCACATAAAAGGATGTTACAAGATATTTTGTATTATGGATAGCATACATGTTCTGTCAAAGTGTTGGGCAAAAAGTTTTTCTTTTTTTCCCTTTTTTTAGTCATAAGTAAACCAGTCATATTCTGTTTTTTTGACTTTTTTTGGCAAGTGCATAGACAATTTACATGCTTAACTGAATTTTAAAATACCAGGTAGCAAACTGTATTCACCGTACAATATACTCATTTTTCCAATGTAAAAATTGTCAGTGTAATGTGATACAATAGCGTTTATTTACTTTTAGGGCAAACAAATATGACTGCATACTCCGAAGGAAATAATACCACAATATTTCAGTTTTAAATACATTTGTAAAATAATCTTGATAAAAAGATGCCATGGCAGTGAAGAGAAGGAAAAGAGACATTTGATAAAATGTGTCTTTTGTATTAATGTGTTAAAGTTTAAATAAATTATGGTCTCTCAATAGCTCAGTTGGTTTGAGCATTAGCCTATATCACCTTAGGTAAAGATCCAAATATGGGGCATAAATATTTGACAGGTTTAGGGAGAGTTTGGATTGTAGATGTGAAGCAAGTTGACCGGTCTGGACTGGGATAAAATTGAACTGAATCCATTCTGTACATTACAATTTCCATTCAGCATTTACACCGCACATGCCCAACTGAGTACAGAGAAAATATTTGTGAAAAAGTGAAAGCAGAAGTGAAAAAAACAGTGATACTTGTATTCTATATGTGGCCTTAGTTGAAAAGAAATCTGTCGGTTGCTCTGCAACTTTGGAAGTAATGTTCAGATGGTCGGCTAGCTGTAAGTGTTAAAAACCGATATTTTTGATGAATATATGTTTTGTTGAACTGTATAAAAGTTTATCTTCTGAAACGACATTCAATTGATATTTCCATTCTGTATTTGTTAAAATAATATTTTTCAATTACTTACAGTTAAGATGCGAAACTGTGGCTTTCTAACTCTGCATCAGTACTTATTTTCAATTTATCTGTAGCTGGTTCTCGCTTGGATTTGATACAATTCAATTGATCATTGAAGATATTTATTATAATCCTCCCAATTATGGAAGATTTTGTGTGCAAAGCCTATGAGTGACAGAAGTACATGCGAGGGTTGTAACTGTCACCACAAGTGTTGATTTCACGGTCTGCCGGTCATAACTTAGATTTTGATAGTTTAAATGAAGACGGTTTTCAAAAGTGATTATTTGTATATTTTAATCATTTCGGACACAAAATTGATTCGGTATTCAGAATTGAGAGTGATCAGTATTGGGAAAGTTTTTATTACTGTAATAAAGAGGATGTCTATCCGTACATCACCATTTCGTTTGGTTTCAAGAGATGATCAGTTTTGAGAACGACTGGTTTGGGGAAGTTGTACTGTGCCTGGTATTATGTATGACCTCAATTCATTCCTAGCATTGCAATACTCATTGCAAACAAAGTCAGGAAGTGATGAGTGTGGCAACATCTGATTTTTATAATATGTGTAGTTGACCGTGTTCATTTGTAATATCACATGCTGTAATCAGGGGTGCCTCACAACATCACATGACCAAATATGCTGTTACTATAAATAACAAGACATTTGACACATATGATATAAGATAAGGGAAATAAGTGACCTGCATATTTATGCCACACACAAAGGTCAAGTTCTCTAGCTTCACTTGTTTCACATGACCCTTAAAATGAACTTAAGAAAATTGTGTCCAATTTATTATGTTGGAACCTGGTTATGGGTTGTAATAGAGGGATAAAACCCTTGTATGATTTTTAACTACTATGGGCATTTGAGTCACATTTTTATGTTGAATTTTGTTTTGTAAATGAATGCAATAATTTTTATTGAAGGAGAGAATGGAAATCCAAGCTGTACTGTTAAAGAAGCTGAAAAAGAAGTCCTGGAGCTATTGAAAGAGGTATTTTATATTTTGTCCTTGTTACTGGTAATTAGTTGCTTATCAGTCCAAATGGAGAACACAATTGCATTTGCAATGAAACTGTGCAGAAATGATTATGATGAACTGAAGATATGCATATTGTAATTTGAATATATTGTATATGTGTATACTTGGGAGTAAGGCTCTTTTTATTTGAGCTTAAAGCCTAAAGGGATATCATTGTAAAAGGGTAATCTTTAGGATTTCAATTGAGATTTAATTTTGTTCATTTCAATGCTCAGATTCCATCCCAAAAGTTAAGTTTTACCACACCATTTATTTGGGAAGCCTTTTTCAGGAAATATATAGCACATAGCAAATTTCAAAAGAAATTGCTCACATTTGCATATGACAGCAGAGATAAAGACTTTAATTTACAGTTTAAACACATTTGATGAAAAATGTTATTTACAAATAACATGACACACTGTTTATAATAGCTTAAACTTCATTTGCTATTCTATTTATAAGGCTTGTCATTTCAGCACCATAATGCATGTTTTTGGCTGACGTTACACATGTACAGTTTGGTCTAGAATTTATAATCTTGTAGACAGTTCTTTGCAAAGAAATGATCCATGTGAATGATATCTATCTGAGCTTTTAATTGTACATGTGGAGTTTTTTTTGTCAATGTAAATAGATTACAAAAACAACACTTAATCATTGCTCTGTCATTTAATTATTTTTAAATCAATATTTGCCTGTTCATTTATCGGTAATTGAATGACAACTTAAAGGTAAATATGTTGACCATGGTAAATTTTGATTCACAGAAGTATGAAAAAACTTAGAAAAACATCATCAAAAAAATGTTTTGAATGATGATGTTGTTTCTCAGAACTTTGTGTGTTGTTCAATAGTAGCCTTTAGTCATAAATTTTGAAATTTAGTCCATATTATGTATATATCAAAACCATGCCAAGAAGTAAGACTTTGAAAACATATTAACCTAGTTAGGCTGTTCATCAGAACCTTTTAACTCTATATTGCTTTAATAGTGTGAAGAACTTAGATTGTGTACAGATACTCATGTGAATAGCTTTATGATTAAATTTATCTAAATTTTATTTAGATGAATGACACAAAGAAAGTTTTCAATGGTACCTTGAGTCTTATCCTGAAGAACCCTGATTGGAATATAAGGTATTGTTTATATTATATACCAGACGTCATTAGTGAACTGTCAATAGTAGGAAATGATGCCTTTGTCATAAGTAATATCTGTTGAGTGGTTGGCAATTTTTATAGCATTATTTGATTCATAATACTTGTATGTTTCTATGATTTTGAACTATGTATCTACTATACCAATCTAGGCTAAATCTAAACCTGTTTCATGTGTTTCCTATTATGAAAAAAAATCTGAATGGAGCCAGAAATTTGTAGAGTTCCTTTTAATGATTTCCCCCTTCTGATTGTGTCTTCATGTCATGGATATTTCTGTTCCCTTAAATCCTTTGGTAGATGAAGAAAGACCAATATAATCAAGTAGGAATAATTCAGTGAAAGTTCTGTACCATTTGACATGAAAATAGACCATTTTTATTCATAATTCACATGTCAATTGAATAAGTTATATATACTTGAGATGTGGGTTATCGTAGTTGCTAGGACTGTACATTGGTGAACATTTAGATAATAGATAGATTAGAGCAAAATAAATTGTTTTAAAAGATTTTTTCTTTGTTGTAATGATCTCGAGACTCCACCCAATTTCTCTCCTGAACAACTGGAATAAATTGTGGGCAAATACTCTTTGAAAACGAACTTGCTCAGTGAATACTCCTTTTTTTCCATTTTGTTTCATTTTTTTTTTTTTTGGACTGTCTAATCAGTGTATCTATTTTGAACCAGTTGTTTGAGCTGTATAGAAGATGAGAAGTTGACAGTAGTTATGAACTTTTTTATATGTTGACACTGTTTTATGTCTGATTCCTGTTAGGGCGAAGACCCCGGGTAATGCTTTTGCAACAACTGTTGCTGATATCTCTCGTCTGGAGACTGATCCGGAGCTGTCCTTGTTGGCTAGAATCTATGGTTCTCTGTACAAGATCCTTATGGGAGCAGTGCTTTTACTCATCTGTAAGACCTATGTTTATTGTACTAGTCTCCAGGCCCCTTGGGGGCTGGTTCAGGGTTCACTTTTAAAATAACATCTGTTTATCATATTGTCATATTTTGATTGACACTTTAGAAAGTTGCATTGTAAACATTGATATATCAGAATTTGTGTTCAGTGTGGCCCCATGGGGACAGAAATTGAAGGATAGAGCCAAGGATTCCTCTAAAACGAACCCTTAACATCTCAAAAACAATTGAATTTTCATTTTAAAAACATTTGATGAAATTTATCTGTAGATTATGTTAAGAATAAATTCAAGAATAAGTGTAAACTCAAAAACATTAGGCCTTCAGCCATTTCTGTATTACCAGTAGATACTGTAAGATTTTTACAAAACTTATTTAAGTTTGCTAGAACAGAAAGAATCTATTTCAAAATATATTTGAAGAAAATCATATATGACATAATTTAGAAAACTTGTTATTTTATCTTTTAAAGATTTCCTTTTTTTAAATCTGATATTTTCTAGAATTAGTTTGAAGTGTATATCAATATATACTTCAGTTTTCTGTGAATAACTTCAATTGTTACAGTTCTTTGTGTAGTCAAGGTTTGTTTGATAATTGTGTTTGTAGGTTTTATAGTAATGATGATTGGAGTGCTTGTACTAAGACATCGACAGAGGTCAAAAGAGGAAGAGAGGAAAAAGGTCTTTGAAATTGTGGAGAAGATCATAGGTAAGCCTCTGTAGACTAAACTGCAGGGCTAGAAAAAATATTTTCAGCTACTCGTCCATCGGGCAAGTGAAACTTGAAATTTGATTATGACTCAACACTTGCTTTTATTATTTTACTCATATTTAATTCACTGTTAATGCAAGCGAGAGAATCGACTTTTTGACAGTAACTTCGTACACAAAACAACCTTGTTTACAACATCTGTAGTGACGTAATAGGTTTTTGTGTAGTCTGGAGTCTTGACACGTGGTGTAAACAAGGATACTACATCAATGTATTTGATCGACTATCGGAGGATTTAAATTAGTTTTAAGAGTGTGTAAGTTGATAAATGTCATTTATTATGGAATATTCAATAGTCAGACCTACAAATTTCACTCGCCCGCTGGACAAGTAGCTGAAACAAATCACTCGCTCGCAAGTAGCTTTGACTTGTCTACAAGAGCGGACGAGTGAATTTTTCTAACCCTGAACTGGGAAAAAATCCTCGTCAAACTAAATGTGTAGTGGACAGCATTACAAAGCATCATACTGCAAATAGACTGTTTAAGAAAAAGATCATAGCAGCAGTACCAATTTGACTATTTAACCTGCAGGTATATGTAGGCCAATGAAAAATGTGCATTACACATTGGCCAATTCTTGGTTTGAAAAACAAAATGAAAACAAAATCTGGAAAGGATCTGTCATGTACTGAATTGAAGAAAAATGTAGTGATTTTCAGTATACTTTGGTGTATTGCTACAGCCCTAATTGTGAAGATAGACACTAAGATGAAATATGTTGTTAATACCTGGATGTTGTGTTAAGATATGCTTAACCATTTTGTAGACATGGTAAAGGAGAACTATGATATGAATGAACAAGATAGCCACCAGCCACCCTATATGGCCATCCAACATGTTCGGGACCAGCTCCTCCCACCTTCACAGAGGTCAGTCATTTCTTTCAGAGAAGTAATGCCCTTTCTGGTTGTAAACCTTTTGTGATCATCTTTTGTCATCTGGATGTGTAAAAAAACTTGTAAGGAATGTAGCAATTGGAATGAGAGATCTCCATTATGATATTAGAAATTAGTAAGTCCATGGCCCTGATAGAAGCAATTACATACATCTATTTACTGGAGAATAAAATGAGTGAAAAATGATAATATTGTTGAAGGTTCTCCTCCAAATTTGTTAGGTAGATTTCAAATATGCTTCCAAACTAGTCTTGTAAGCGATTCAGAGCCTCTTGTTACATTTATTTTTAAACAAAATTGATTTGGTAGTGCTATTTTGTTATCTATTCAGGAAGAGCATGGTTCCACTGTGGGAGAAAGCTGTTAAGTTTATTGAGGCTAATGAGTCGAGGATCCGTGTTGAGACTCAGAACATCCAGGGCGAGGACTTCATCGTTTGGCGTTGGCTACCGGTATACTAGATCTACATACATTTAATAAACATAGGTGCTCGTTGTTGAGCCTTTCTGCTTGTTGATATGTCAGGTTTTTTGTTTGGGTTGAAGTTCTTTGCTAGGTTAGTGGTAATGTTAGGCTGAAAGGAGTGGGAAGGGGAGAAGGGAGAGATCGATTTGAGAAGAGTTTTAGACTCGAATGAATGTTTGGAGTTAAACGTAATTCTTCTAATTCTCAACGAAAATTTGAGAACCCTTTACACTCATTTGTATTACAGTAATGGGTCTCATCAGAGTTTTAGAATCTGTGTTCTGAGCTTGTCTGTTAAAACTAATACATTGTAGTCTGCTGCTTCAAAATATAACCTGAGTATTCAAACAAAAACAGATTTACTTGAAATATTAAAACTAAAATTGTATACTTGAGAAGCTTTTGATGACTATACCAGACCTAGGCATCATGGGGATGTATTCTCACCATAAAGTTGTCACTTTTACTTATGTTTGACATTGGTGTCAATACATACACCATATTAAAGCAGAATGACGTATCCAAAAAATATTGTTATTTCAGTCAAATTCAACCTGTGGAAAAGTTTGGCAGGGCCAAGGTGAGTGATCTGTCTGTTAATAAAGAGCTCTCATAAATATTATACAGACACAGTTTCCGCTTAAATCTGAAGCTTGTTAATGATTCCTGAAGGAATTAAAATCAAACTTGTATGAATTGAACTTTGATGATTCAAATTTCTCAATGTAACAAATTTTCTGTCAGCTACCAAATTTTATTCTTACATATTACTACTAATTAACCCCTTTACAAATCAAAGTTTTATAAATCAAACTTTTCAATGTATCAGGGTTTTTTGGCGGATCGTTAGCTATGATAACACAGTCATTGTTACCTCATGATTCAAACAAAACATTTACCTGTACTCTGTATAGATATTTTCACCCAGTGACAGAATTTCACGCATTTCAACAAATGTGAAACAATGGGATTACTAAAGCCCGCTATCGTTAGCTCTGTATTTCAAGGTTAATTAATGACTGGACACAGATTAAAGTTTAATTGCTTACTGTTACAAGCCACGACATTTAATAAAAGATAATAGGACGTCGTGTGATGTTCACCGTCGCCATTGGGTAATCGCATAGAGTTAGGTCTAATTCGCATAAATATGAAAAATATGGAAGGAAGTCCTGAACACTTGTACAATGATTTCACTCATTCCCAAAGCATCATGTTTTAGTTTTAAAAGCATGAAAAATACTGTGATTTATCTGTCAATCATGCATTCTATTGATTCAGACTAGCCATTGTCAGAACATCGGCATACACCCTTGAATTTTTTACTAACTAAGATGTGTGATGTTAGCGCTGTCGTTTCTGGGAAGAGTATATTATGATCTTAAGTTGCTCTCTTTGAATTTCATCAGTGTCTGTAATTACCAGCACTGTAATATATGAAGACCACTATAATGATGCATGTAGAAGTACTCTATTAGTACAAACATAATCTAGATATTTCATTACTGCAGATACCAGTTATTTGTCAGTTTAGGAAAGTGTCAACAGTAATTTCACCTTTAGATCTTATATCCATTGACTGAAAGGGAAGATGTTTTACTTTATGTAATTATGATTTATTTTGAACATTATTTCAGCTTTTGGAGAGAACAATGTATCTGCTGGTAATACACTCCAGTATAGCCCGACTCCGTGTCTGAAGATCCGAAATATGTTTGATGCTGATGTGTAAGTAAAGCCTAGTATAGAATGAAATTTGTTTTTATCTACTAATCATGGATGTATGAGTCATTTGAATGAGAAACTCTCGGAGACTGTTTTCATTGACTGTGATACCTCACTGTACTGTGTTATGACTTCTGCTCCCAGAAGTGATCACTGTCTGTATATCTGATATACAACTGTTATTTGGTATATGGTTGTGTGATAATTACATGCAGGTCAAATTCTGATTTGGTTATGGTCAATTAAGATTTTTCAGGGTTATGATCATTTAAAGTATGCTGAAAATACAAATCATCCATATACACTATGTGATGAAGATCTGATGGTGGCTGACACAGGATCACGATAAGATGACCTCAATGCTTACAATACAACAGGATTTTTCAGCCAATAAAAGCTCATCTCTCATTTGCCTAACTGGAAGCATGTGCAAATAAGGGAAAAGATAGAGATGGAATAGGCAATATAAGCAATATTTAAAAGAAGTGTCACTTCATTTCCTTCAGAGGTACCAGTAGTTAAATAACAGAAAACGACAATCCATAGATAATGCATACATGATCCAATAAATGCATCTTTTTCCGTGTCAGGTTGCATGTGATAGGTGCAGTTATCTTGGTATCATTGAGATTTGGGACACTCGATCATTATCTATTCATTAACAACCATCCGGCTTAAGATCTTAACAGGCTCTTGCAAGATTTTGCCAGTCATGTTTTGCTTGGTTGGTTCAAAGGTCATCTGAATGTAACCCTTTACTGGCCACTGTCAGATCTTTACATAGTGTATAATGATAATCTATATTTCAATCAGATTGAACCATTTGATTTAGGAATTTTAGTTAAAATTTTCTCAAAACTGTTAAGGCCGAAATTGGAAAGCCTTGCCGAACTCCAGTGGAAATTAAAAAAAAAAATTGTGAGGCAAGGTTGAATCTTATTTCAGATTCTATTTTTCTCAGATTTTGTAGTGAATCAATTTATTGATAAAGATTTGATGAAATGTTAACAAGGATATTGGTAATTGATCAGGATGTCATTTGTGTGTTAGAGAAACTCTTGGTCTATAAAAGAGTCACATTTAGAAAGCAGGACCTTATGACAGAGTTATGCTATTATAAGGCTTAAGAATGTCAGGTAATGTTAAGCCATGTTTCTGTTGGCATTCATCTGATGAATATTGAATTTACATTTGTAGGGAGACAGCGGATGACTGGGATGTGAATGTTCAGGATGCTGTATTAGAAAAGTGTAAAGGAATCACTGGTATTCTACACATTTTTGTGGACAGAGCCTCGAGTCAGGTCAGTACCATGATGAATTCATTGAAATCCTTCCACTTAAAAATCTATATCAAGTACATAGTGTTCTGTTTGTTAGCCAGTCTTTATGATTTATTGCATTATGATCAATATCAAAGTCATCTTTCATGATTCAAGATTAGTAAACAATTTGTTAGCTGACATATTGTCAGTAACGCTCATTTGCAATTTTAAGGGTGACCAAATGTTTTATTGATGTATGGACTGATCTTGATTCTATAGGATGATGTCAAGATCTTATTGTTTGTGTTTATTATTTTAAAGGGTTGTGTTTACATGAAGTGTAACAGTTGTGAAACAGCATACCAGGTGTATCGTTCCCTCCATGGCTGGTGGTTTGATGGTATGTATTCAGCGAATCTGAACATTCAGAATTTTATCTTGTACTATACAGACATGATATAACGTATTATTCAAGCATTCTAATTTGTATGAATGAAACTCTATGCATGGCTGATGCTACAGAAAATGAAGCAGTAATATATGTTTGTTTTAATCAATCGCTTATCTTGGTTGTCCAAATATGACAATCCTGAATCCTCTTAAATTAAGTATTTACTGAAGTCCTAAGTTATTGTATCAATACTGATTTGCATGTTGAAGATATTATGAATATATCTCTGGCTCAGTGTTATACATGAACAATAATGTTAAACTAATTTTTTATTTTCTATGTCATCTATTACAAGATTATTCCTATAACATGTTACACAAACAGCTTTGTAATTCAGGTGACTGTTAAGACCCTTGGCCCTCTCGTTTTTATAGGTCACTGACCCGAACGGTTATGATGACCTACATCCATTGTTTTATTGATTGTACACAGGTGTAAAAAACTTCTTTGAAAGTTCCACCTGTAGAATAGAGCTCCGACTTGCATAAAATGATCCTGTGATGGTCCTGCTCAAGTGTTGTTATTTTTGGAGTCGGTCTGAAATCCAAGATGACCACCATGGCGCCATCTTGAAAAATATGTTCTAAACTTCTTCCGTTCCACAGATAACTTGAGCTAAAAATTGATAGGAATGTTAAGGAAAACAGTGTAGTAAGCTTTCATTCAAAGTGAAAAATATAAGCCTTCTACCTATTGATTTTGTAGTCAAATGACTGTTAAGGCCTTTAGGCCTCTTGTTTAAACATGGTTTAGTTTTACAATGTTGCACTTTTTTACCCACAGGTCGCCTGGTGACTGTGAAGTATCTCCGTCTGGAACTTTATCATGATCGCTTTCCCAACTCTAAGAAAAATACAAAGCCCCTGCTGCCTTCAAATAACAGCATGGCATCACTTTCCCATCCTTACCATCGCTCACTGCTCGAGATGACATAGACTCATAAGTACTATGTGGTGCTAGATCATCTTGTATGTATCTACAAATCAATATTGATTGTTGGTCATACTGAGAATACTGAAGGATCAAGTGATACAAATTGTACATTGTACATTAGTAGTGCCTTGTATGTCATCAGAGTTTAAACATATGTTGTCAGTGCATGTACAAGTTTGTGAAATATGTAATCAGCCATGTGGATTTTTTGCCTTTATATTTATCATTGGGTAACAACACTGCTAGCACTAACTGACATTTTATTTTAGCTTTGATGAATACGCAGTCATTCAATTTTCAAATCGGTCTTTCTTTCATACCAGTATGAAACTTAAGATATTCGTATGAAAGCTTAAAATTGATATATAAGATACGTTTCAAAACCAAAAATAACACATAGATGTATAAAATTGATGAAGGGTGATTTTATAAAAAAAATTGCTATGCAGAAGAGCTTGTGTGATAATGATTCGACATTCAAGCCACTTTTAGTCATTCAAAATTCATTCTTGAGTAAGTGCATCACATTTCAAACAGCAATGTAAAGTGTTACACAGCTCCCACAACTCCTATGTGACAGGTGGTTTGTTTACATTGTTACTTGGAAAGAGTACTGTTGGTTTATAAGCAGTAGCGATTTGTGACAAATGGTGAGTGTGAGAAGAGCAACTTGGCTAGCACTCCCCGCTGATCCTGATACAACTTTTAAGGTGTTATAGTTGTATGCTAGATTCTGATCTTATTTACCACTAAGAAAAGCCAAAGACACCATCAAGACTGAAATCCATCCTGTAATCGCAAGTTGAACACAAAATTAATAAGCAGACGTTTTGATCTTGTAGTGTAATATTGCTTTTACCCCAAAATGTGTAAAAAAATTATCTGACAGACTTTTTCTCTTGATAAATCTGTTACTTATTGGTTGTTTATTTTTTGTGTACATTGTAAAATGTTCAAATTGTTGATGACGTAGTTAATTTTTTTGTTTACATCATTGAATGTGTAAACAGATACAAAAAAGAAGTTCCACCAAAGCTGTGGTAGGGTGGTGTGTTGTCATTGACTCCTCCAATCATTATGAAGCAGGCTGACCTAGATTTTTTTTTTGAGAAATGGAAAAAAAATTGGCAAATCAGAAAACTGCATCCTGGGTATGTACAACAAAAATTATAACGGTATGAAATTCTATTTCAAAACAAGGGAATTGCTTTTGCCTTGTCTTTCAAGTTAATTAGTTAATCAATATGTTTGTAATGCTACATCCAATTTTACAGAAATTAATTTTTTTCCCCTATTAATTCGTAATTTTGTACAAATTGAAAAAAAAAAACCCACTTAAACTCCAGGTTAATTATACCCATGTAAATACTGATTTACAAAGTGGGCTAACAAACAAACATTATAATGGTGTGTATTTAAAGTTGATTACAAGTGTTGTTACCCAACATTTATTTTTATTTCTAGTTGTATGATTGTGTGTTTGTAAGATTCTTGATAAACTTATTAGATTTAATATTTTGGTCTTGAATGTGGAATGTACAAGAAAAAAACATAGCTGATGCTTTATACTATTTGTTAATTCATCAACAACAGTTTGTCATAATGTGTCTGACTGATATGTTTAGTAAAAATGTGTTTGATGTGGCAAGAAAAAAAATAGAATTTTGGTGACATAAAGAAGGGAAAATCAATCTTAACTTGTTACAACCCTTTTTATGGCCAAACTTGATGTGTTACCACCCTTTGTGAGGCCAAACTTGCATACCATCGTCAGTTTTATTAGAGCAGATTTATACTCTATACTTAAATGCACCTATTGTTATGCCAAACTTGCATATCACCATTTACCACATTGTTTTGAGGACAGCAGGTGCATTGCAAGATTTTACATGATCCCAGAATAACTTCACTTGTGATTTTTTTATATATATATATATCTGAGGTCTTATACTCAATTTACCATAGTGTTTTGAAATGCAGAATATTGCCGAAATTTTGGTAATTGTTATTCTAGTTTCTAAGTAAATTGAAGTTTTTCAATGTGGCACAGTTTGATTAGGCTGAAAATGAAATTATCATTACCAATGTAATAATACCTTACTCACATGAAAATATATGATCCTTATAACTCTCAGTCTTATTTTCACTTGAAGTCAATATTCATGTTAATTTAGTTTTCAGTTTATCAATAATGCAGACATATCTGTAATAAATCTGAATGTTTTGTTATATCTGAAGTGCTTCTTATTGTCATTCATGTACATGTCTTGTTGTACAACATTTTAAAATAGATTTCATGTCAAAGCCATTTTTAAAGAATCCCCTTTTCTGCTCACTTCTTTCAGAGTATGAAACTATTCTAAGGATAAATTTTATTAACATCACACATACTATTCGTAGGAGTTTTTTCCCTTATTTGTATCTCTTGCCAAATTTTTGAGATGATATGTAATACCTCAGAATGGCTCAAGTGCTATCTACAAATACGTACTCTTTTTCTTAATTAACAGAAGACTCTTTTACTCAGTAATAGCTTCTTCTAGGATACTCCTTTCCCAAAAATTTCAGGTTTCTTTGATTTATAAAAAGTTAGCAAAGAAGATGCAGATTACAAGGTAGCATACTACCTTAAGTCTCCCCATCACATAAAGGTAGCATGTTTGGCTACCTAAATCTCTCTGTCTTATGAAAGTATTATGTATACTTTAGTACCCTTACTAATGGGTGAAGCTTATGGCCAGTAGTCTTGATAGATTTGAAGTTGTTTGATTCTCATTTTTTGATCAGTGTTTTTGAATTAGTTCCTCCCATAGAACACATAAAAGATGTTGTGGATTATATGATTGTGATTGTTGTCCCATTGTAAATAATTTTGTTGTGCTGTACAGAGAACGACACAGTTAGGGCATCATCTGTTGTTTGTAATTACTTAGGTTTATGTCTTTGTTTTATCTATATTAAATATATATATCTACATAATTTTGTTAGAAAGTTGATGTGAAAGTAGCCATTTAGAAATACATTTAATGTGTAAATATTTATGGCTATTTCCAGTCAAGGTTGGATTCTCCGTGAGCAGTTACAGATAACTATTACTATAAAATCCAAAGTATGACAAAATACCTGTTGGACACACAATCCTACTTCATCTTTCAGATTAGATTTTATGACCACTGATCTTTATGTTATATAGTGCTTTAACTTAATATCATACAGTTAGACATGTTTGACAGTACATTGTATTTCTACCGCAAAATCCTCCAAAATACTTTTGCTTTCCTACAGAAAACATTTTATCAGTTTTCAGTCATAATCTGTACACTTGTTTAAGACAAGGAATTTTTTCTTTAGCAGCTAGATTAATTAATCTCTTGCAGCAGATTTCTACATTTTGATGATGATATAGCCGCGTTTCACAGACAATGTTCACTCTGTTCTAGTAACCAATAAAGGAAAATACTTCAGTGCTATTCCTGGTAAAACACCTACTTAATCCCAGGACTTCGAGGTAAATCACAGCTGTTCATGGTTTAGTATCCTCTTAATTACTTTAAAGCAAATTATCAATTTAATTCTATGGATGGTACTCCCAAACACAACCTGCAGTCCTGGAGAAAGATAGATGTTGTCCAGGAATAGCCCTAAAATGTAGTGGCTATTATCAATTATTTGAATGTTTCTGCATATTCCTTTATGTATATCTTTGCAGTTTCTTCATAACATCTTTAGCTTGCAATAGATAGATGTTATCTAACTAAATCTGTTTGTAGTTATTGGATTACTGTAATATTTTTTGTTATTTTTTATAAATATCTGTTGTCTGGTCAACTGGATCCAGATAGTGGAGATTTCTGTCTTCATCTGTCTCTTTGATCTAGGTAATGGAGATACGATATTCCTCTGATCAACTGGAAACAGATAATGGAGATTCCAATATTGATGTGGTCAGCTCAATCTAGAGAATGTAGAATCAGATCTCTGTCTGATCAGATAGGTTGAGATAAAGGAGATTCTGATCTTTGTCCGATTAGCTGGGTCGAGATAAAGGAGATTCTGATCTTTTTCCGATTAGCTGGGTCGAGATAAAGGAGATTCTGATCTTTGTCCGATTAGCTGGGTCGAGATAAAGCAGATTCTGATCTTTGTCCGATTAGCTGGGTCGAGATAAAGCAGATTCTGGTCTTTGTCTGATCAGCTGGGTCAAGATAAAGGAGATTCTGGTCTTTGTCTGATCAGCTGGGTCGAGATAAAGGAGATTCAGATCTTTGTCTGATCAGCTGGGTCAAGATAAAAGAGATTCTGGTCTTTGTCTGATCAGCTGGGTCAAGATAAAAGAGATTCTGGTCTTTGTCTGATCAGCTGGGTCAAGATAAAAGAGATTCTGGTCTTTGTCTGATCAGCTGGGTCAAGATAAAGCAGATTCTGGTCTTTGTCTGATCAGCTGGGTCAAGATAAAAGAGATTCTGGTCTTTGTCTGATCAGCTGGGTCGAGATAATGGAGGCCTGAAATTATGGTGATTTTTACCTTCATCTGCTTGCATCTAGCTTGATCCAGATAATAACAACCACTCTTTGCCTTAGTTTGGTAATATATAAATTGTGTTTGGCAGATCAGCGCCATCCAAATGATTGAGATGTTTATCCGATTCTGGTCAGGATCAAAATAATGGAGGTTTTCTAACTGTATCTCTCAAGCTTGATCCATATAATTGATATTTCTTCTTGGTTTTGTACAAGTGAAATGGAAAAAATTACATATCCAATGTTACTTGTGAAATAAGTTAACAGTACTATTCATGTATCTGTCATATTCAGGTTCCTTAAGGAATCTAGGTATACAAGTGATATCCTCACCTACAGGCAATACAAGCATTTTGGGAGCAAATGATTTCCCAAATAATTCATCAGAGAAAATCATCAAAATATCATTTCATGAAAGATCAAAGTCAAATGACAGATGTTGTATTGATATAAAACTGTCATGTTCACTGGTTGTCCTGATAAAACAAGGTTACAGTTTTGTATATATCCTCAAAGTATAAAATAAAAAGATATTTTAATCCAAAATTGTTGGTTTCATTTTGATATCCATCAAAAATTTTGAAAAAATGCATGGTATGGTGTTGTCTGTCTATTGTCAGATCTTGTGTGCTTTCAACCGATCTTTTGCAATCTAGGGAGGCTTATCACCATGACATTAAGGCCAGATGGTTGGCTATTCAAATCACTCGGACTCCGTCATTCTATTAACAACTCCTGTTACCGCTGTTTCTGGAGGAGCAGTGGATAGATAATACTTAAATTTCATATGTAGGCCACTATGTGGCTTATCGGCAAAATGACAGCCAACAAGCAGCCATATTAGGTTTTGTGAGTTATAGCTTGTTTTCCCTATTTTTGGATAAGTACTAGACGTATCATTTCACCTTGGTTACTAGTTGTGAGTAGTCCATTTTGGAACTTATTTGAAAAAATAGATGGCCATTATGGTTTTTTGACAATCTTAGTTGGTTATCACTATTTCTGACGAAGTACTTGATTTGATTTTACCGAATTTCATATGTAGGGGTTCCCTGTGGTCCCTATTGTACTCTTGATCAGAAATATAAGGCTGACAGATGGCCATCATGGATGTTTACTTGGAGAATTGATCACTATGTTTCTAGAGTAGTCTTGAATGAAACTTTCCCAAAGTTTATGTTTAGGTTCCTTTTTGTTTCATGTTGGACTCATTTGATTTAGGACTGATGAGAACAACATAAACATCTTTGATTTTGACAAAGTATTTATTTCACTTTATCTCGAGAAGTACTGGATTGACCGCTTTCAAGTTTCATATGTAGATTTCACTTGGTCCCTTATTGAATCTGTTTGGGATAGGAACTGATCAGCAAATCAAAGCAGCTGATGAGAGGCTCTCTTGGATCTTTTAAAAGAAAGTTTGTTGTATTATTTGTGATAAGTATTGGATGGATCTTTCTTAAATTTCATATGTAGGTTTCCCTTGGTCCTGAAGTTATCTTGACCAAATCCTTCGGGAAACTTAGCCAGTTTTGTAAAAGCAGTAGGTCTGGGTCTTGCAGTACCCAAAAGAGGAAATTCAGTCTGAAACATCATTTGGTAAAAGATACTTTTTTTCTTTATAAATGATGGGTCTATAACCAACAGAAATGGACCAGTTTGAGCTGAAATGATCGTGTCCTTGAGCAAGACACCTTAATTGCCCTGGATAACTCGATTAAGGCCCAAGACATGTTGTTCAGTGTGGAAGAAAGCAGCGACTACGAGGAGATCCGGTCTCAAAATGGTCCTAGCTGTTAATGTGGCAATAAACTCATTGTGTGATCATGACTGAATGTCTGATGACCATATCTTCAGTATTTTAGCTCCTTTTTACTCAATAAAGCTCTACAAAATGAGCCAAAGAAGAATCTTCACTGGCCCAGTAAGTAACGGCTATAAATGTTACTTTTTATTCTTCTGAATTTATAGATATGTTAGCTCTTAAATGAGATATTTGTATTTGATCCATCATACAATTCTCTTGATAATCCACTCCAGTTTTCTTGAATGATTTGTTATGATCCATTAAATATAAAGATTTAATACGGTCATTAACCTAACAATCTGGAAATATGCAATTTTTTCTCAAATGAATATCAAAATAAAAGTATGGTCTAAAAGATATTTGGTCTAGCTTAAAATTCTGTTTAAGATGATTGACTTTGCATCATCCATGCTTTCAATTTCTCAAAATTAAATGTTTTGAAATTGTGTAATGTTACTGGTTAAGACCTGGGTCCATATTCGTGAAACCGTTCTCATGCTCAAGCATTGATTTAGTACTCGGGATAACTTCCTCATAATTCACATAAATCATATCCAATTATACAAATGTCAAATACAAACATTTAATATAGCATTTGGCTTGAAGTCCTTTCAAAATATTACCAAATCTTTGACAAAATCAGCCTTTTTTATTCATTTTTAATTAAAACAAGATACAAGACAAAATTCATGCTTGAGAACGGTTTCGTGAATATGGTACCTGAAGTTTGGCATGTAGAAAACAGAGACAATTTTGTTAAAATGTCATACTTAAAAGGTCAATGAGATCCTCAGATTTGGTCTGAACATATGAATAATCAGGGTCTTCTGTGTGAAAATCTAAATTAAATATTTTAAAGATCCAGAAAGCCTGGTGAGGACAATGATAAGGTACACTTGGTATCATAAATGACACTGACCTCTGCTGGCACTTTTCGATGTAACAATTCAGGCATAAATCAACACAGACCTTAATATAATAATACTGGCTTCATAAGGCTTAGTCGAAGCTTGTCAAAAAGGAAAATAGGATAAGTAAGTCAACCTTTAATTCATAAATAATCCTGGTCGAACTGGTTGAACCCATATACAAATATGGCTCAAAATACCGAAATAATAACAAACAAAATATTTTCTTCAAAGACTTTTTAGTTTCTAAAATATTCTTTTTGTGATATTGAAAACTTAAACGGATAAATAACAAAAACACTTACACATAAAACGGCTAAAAATTCTTATATCATACACACAAATCTAACATTTGTTAATGCCATGAATGATCTCTTCATTATTACACTAACCATACATCATTTAGGTAGGATATTTGATTATCAGTTTGGATTGTGCTGTGGTATTTTAATATCTACCTATATTGAAAGGAAATTACAAAGACGTTCGTTTGAGATAAATTTTCAATCATCTGCTACTGCTACTAAACTCAATTACCTTGTACATCAGTGTATTTGTCCTGCTGTTAGCCTGGTGGGCACAATAATAGTACTTCTGACTCAAGATTAGGGGTTGGGCTGGTTACAGGAATTGCATGAACATTAAAACAATATGGGCGGGTTTATTGTCAGACACGAGCTCACTGTCAAAAAAATACCACTATATGTAGCATGCTTCAAATATTGTTTTTATTGTATTGCATGATACTGTTGGTTTTCTTCAAGTCAGGAATACAGTCATTTTCTAGTTTTAAAAGACCTGTACAATAATATAATGATACACATATATAATATTCATCTTTACTGAAGAAATATTTAAGCAACAGTATATTTGATAGTCATTATTGACATCCGAGAACACAGGAAATCAAGTTTAAATAAAGATAAATATATTTATTTTCTGAAGGAAAACCCATGAAAACCAGCAAAATATGACGGCCATCTATTCACAAAAACAATGAATGCTGAATCACAATACTGTATTGGAGGTTCACAAACAAATACACCCACCCACCAATGTTCTGAATCAGAATATCGTGAACTAAAATCACTTTGGGTCAAATCAATTCATAAGTACAGGAAAATTTACTGTATAGTTGGTAATACTTGCAGGGAATTTGATTTTGATATATTCACTGTTACTAAAGATCGTGAAAAAATTAAATAACCAGCAAAAGTTTTTACAGAAAATCTCACAAAATATGTTATGTCTGTATACATAAACATCAGTCCACTGATATCGTTATGTGCAAATTTAATACCTGTGAATTAGCTGGTACAACCCTGAAATACCTGCCTTGCAAAATTAAATCAACTATACAGTATATCAAAAATAAAGTATATACCAGAATCTATACAAGTTGTCATTACAAGTTCATTTTGTATCCAGTTGGCCAAGCATTCTGAGATTCTTTGTTACCTTTACCAGTACCTCTGATAGTTGAGAATCTATTCCATCTACACTTACAGCTAGGTACTTTAAGGCAGTATGTCAGACTTGAATATTGATGAGACCTTTAAACAGTGAAGTGACCTGTATTAAACTCATGCCTGATATGTAACATTCTTGGAAGTATCAAAAAAAAAAAAAAAAAAAAAAGCCAGGTTAAGATCAGAGGGACATCCGTATAAATATCAAAATAAATTAATAGGTTAGTGCACGGAAAGTGAAAAGAAAAAAGCTAAATCTTGAAATCATATGAATTTCAGAAATAGTAGTCAACACACATAAAGTAAGAGTATTTTAGATACTAATCCTGAAGATAAATCATCTTGTAATATAGACACATATGATTCAATACCCAGGATACAAGTATAATCACCATCATTTCATTTGCCACTTTGTTTTCCAATAGCCATAAAAAGTCATGTTTTCCATGGTTCCCTCAAAAACAATTTCCTTGCTCAACCACTGTTCTTTGTTAATAATGCCAAACTTCCTGGTTGCAGCTCAATAAAATGTTAACATTATTATATTTTGACACCGACTTAACCAGAAACCTGGAATAAAGACATTCACTTAAACAATACTACCTAGCACTATCATCTGCAATGACACATATATGTAATTTTGATCATGAAAGGAATCATGTCATTTTGAACATTGCACTGTTATTAATAAATGAACATACATTTGTATCAGGTCCAAACTTATCTAAGAAATATGAACAAGAATTGTAACTGTACATTGTTTCCTCTGACAAACTCTGTGTTTCATTCTTTAAAATTTACGTTTTTGGAAATCAGACCAACACAAGTAAATGCAGAATTTTTTACATCCATCTCTTTCCATACTTTAAGATGTCTAGAAATATGTACATCAAGGGATGTTCAGCACTTTTTTAACACATTTGATGATATTTGGTGTCTGTGGGAGAGCAGCAGCCTCAAGGGATTGAGCGTATGGCATGGGTACATCCGCTCCTGTCACTCTTAATACCGGGGCATCTAGGTAATTGAAAGCAGGACCTGAAATATAAATACCAGTGTTTGTAAATAGAGAAATTGTTTTCCATCCATCTCTTTTCAGTATACAATGCATTTCATATCTTAGTAGTTTCGTACAGATTGACTATGAAAGAAATAAATCACATAGATTTTCAAACTTCTATGCTTGCTGAAGAAATACTAAAATTTTCTTCCTTAATCACTGAACACTGTAAAGTTTTATCCCTTTAGTAGTTTTGCAGATTAGCGAAATTTTCAAGCAAACAGGATGTTCTTTCTGTGGAAATTCTGAAAATGAATTACAATTTCCATGTCTTCTTTCTATGTATCTATCTATATATTATTCCGTCCCTGAAAATGAAAATAATTTTTTTTTAAAAAATCCATATTGAACAGCAAATAGTCCTGTATCAAATATTTTGTAAGAATACTTACTTTCCACGATTGTGGCACAGATTTCTGAGCCGATGCCACACTGTGGCCATCCACCTTCTACTGTAATACAGTGGTTGGTCTTCATCACAGATTTTATGATCGACTGAGTATCCAACGGACGTAGGGTTCTAAGATTAATCACCTGACAAAAAAAGGAGTTTTAATGAATAGTCATTGCCTATATATTGCCACCATAAACACTTTAAACTTGACTTCCTGAATTCTAATAAACATTATAGTAAAATGGATCACAACAGATATATATCACTTGTGACCTCTTTCCTTCCCATACTTGACCTTTTGAACTTTCATAAGGAGTGCTGGATTCTAGTATATATTTCACATTTGACATCTTCAACTTCCATACATGACATTTTAAGCTTTAAGGGTAACTGGAGAACATTATCTATATCTCACAATTGAACTTTCACCTTTCATAATTCACCATTCAAAAATAGTCTGTACATTACAATACTTACCTCACACTCAACACCTTGACCTTCCAACTCTTTGGCAGCATCCAGGCAAACCCCTACATACTTGGAGTGAGTTACCAAGGTTACATGGTTACCTGTAAAAAAGTGGGATAACCAGAATTATTTTATCGTCAATCTGTAGAAACTAACAAAGGTCACCACTTGATTTCTGGACCTTCCTAAACAGTATAATAATGAAGTTATTTAAATCCTGTCACTCTAGACAAATGGTTTTAATGTATTAATACAAAACAGATCAATGTCTTACCTTCTCTTTCAATTTTACACTTGCCAATTGGAAGTACAAATTCATCAGACAGTGCTTCATCTGACATTTCGAAGGCAGTACCATACAAAAGTTCATTTTCTAAGAAGACAACTGAAAGAAAGCACATTTTGAAATTTGAATTCACCATATGTTACACAATTTACCATATTTCACCATATATCACTGAAAATAAAGCCACTCCCCACTTTTTATGTATCTTAATTTCAAAAATAGGAAAATTGCTAGTAATTCAGGTAATACATTGGCATGAAAACATGTATTTCTTGTTTGATCAAGGTTTAAATATATAAAAATGATCACAAAACTAAATAGTTATTCATCCATCAATGTTCTGGAGCTGTTTATGTTGTGAAAATACTTCCCTCAATTTTTAATTATTGACTAAGAATCCTTTTATCAATTCAATATGGTAATCATTTATATCGGAGGTTAACATGACAGGTCTACATTTGTCCTTGAATACATGTCTCTTAAGACAACAACAAAAATGTATTAAATTAGAAAGCTGAAGAAAAGTGAGGTTACCTGGGTTGGGGTCCCTGATGGAAGCCTTTAACAGACCTTTACAATCCTCAGAGGAATAAGGGGAGATAACTTTGAGTCCAGGACAGCTACTGTACCAGGCAGCAAAGCACTGTGAATGTTGGGCAGCCACGCCTGCTGCAGCTCCGTTAGGTCCGCGAAACACAATGGGAACAGGTACCTACAAACACAGTACCACAGGTAACACACAGTTTTATGATGGAGACAGGTATCCTTACTGTGTCCAGCTAAGAATGCTCTATTCACTTAATAAAAAAAAAAACTACTTGGGAAAGTTTCTACATAAAATGATGACTGACAAATAGAAGCAGACAGAACCAAACTCTATTGCCCCTATTTTTAAAACATTCTATATACGTGTACAAACATTGATATTTGTGTTTTCTAAATATTTCATTACAATTTTAATAACAAAAAAACAAAAAAAAAACAAAAAACAGACAAATATACTATACATGATCATGATACCATTAGAACATGGTTTTAGAATATTGTCAATCCGGTCATAACAGAAATACAAGTAGTTTCATGGAACAAAAATTACTGCTTTGAAAATATATAGGGGTAAGTTGGGGATACAGTCATAAATTTCTTACATTTCACCAATAGCACTACATGATAAACAGGGAACTGACAATGATTTAGAAACTTACATTCCCAGCTGACATGTAGAATGTTTTAGCTGCAGAATTGATGACCTATAAAAAAAAGGTTTATCTTAATATTAATCTACAGAGCTGTCTAAATATGTAATCCAAACATGAATTAATTTTAAAGTCAAGCATCAATTTGATAGTTTATTTCCATTTAGAAATAATAAATGTAAAGATATATCTTAATCTGGAGCAAAGAATAAATGCTATGTTTAACTTGAGTGTGATAGATATTTTGTAAACTTCAACAAATTAACAAAAAAGATACTCACCTGATCAATAGCTTGCATGGAAAAGTTGAAGGTCATGAATTCACATATAGGTTTCAGACCAGCCTGGTTTTGAAAATAGTAAAATCAAATTTATGCATCATCAGTTATATGTGGTGAAATTACATGTAATTGATAGAAACAGTATTTATCACTGTGTCAATAGACGATGGGCCCACATCTAATCTCACACCATAACCAATCCTGGTCATATTTATATCATTAAACAAGAATTGGTAGAACCGATGGGTGCTCCCGGAATAACACTAGTTCCAAATGGGCTAATTTTGACAAAATTTAAGTATGAAAAACAACAAGGGGCAATAAGTCCTAAGTGATGCAAAAGAGTTATGTTCATGTTGATACCTCTTATAATCTTAGTGATATGCCCCTGACAAAATTATGACTGATGGACAGACAGACGGACAGATAGATGGGCAAAGCGGTGACTTTATCTCTCCCTTTGGGAAGCATAAAAAACCAAATTTACTTTGAAGTAAATTCTAAAGAGGAAAACAAAAGAAACACAAAAGTTCATGTGTTATGTGTTACTTGTTCCATAGGATGTGGGACTAGAACATCCTGTTTCTTCAATGATCACATAAAGCCCTGCATTATCAAGTATTTGACACTGAATTTAAGGACGGTCACATCTCTTCAGCATAAATGGAGAGGCTCTCAACCTTCTGTCTATAATATCAGTTGGCTATCAAACTCCTATAAGTGATACATATAGCTATCTGTAGACACTCATCTCCTGTACATAGATCTATTAGTCCTTTATCTCTAGTATAAAATATCTGTGGACTCTAAATCTGTTTATAATATATGTTGGCTCTCAATCTCCTGTATGTAATATCTGATATCTGTATGCCCCTATCTTCTCTATATGAAATTTCCAGGCACTCCCTGTCCTGTTAATAAAAACTGCAAGTCCTCAATCTCTAGAATATAACACCTGTGAGTTCTCAATCTCCTGTATATATTATTTGTAAACTCTCAGTCTCCTGTATATCTGTGTAGGCTCCCAATCGCCTGTGTATACTATGTGTAGGCTCTAAATCTTAATCTCCTGTTTATAATATCTGTAGACCTTCAATCTCTTGTATACAAGAGTACCAAATAAACTGATGAATGCTCTCCAAAATTAACTTTATTGGAGACAAAAATTTAACAAAGGGCAATAATTCTGTAATTAAAGCATTGCAGGCCATAACTTACGTACACTGCACACTGTCTTAGTATGACCAATATAAACATCAAGTTACATGGTCTTTAGTTTCAATACAAGTAAAGTTATGACCCGGACACAAATTTTCAACAAAGGCAATAACTTGGTAATCAAAGGGATTGTTGGCCCTAATTTTGTACACTAGACATCATCTTAGTATGACCAATATATACACCAAGTTTCATTATCCTAGTCTAAATGTAAGCAATTTAAAGCTATGACTGAAAATTTACGCTCCAAAATACCCACCATGGCTGCCCCAACAGCTATTCCAGCAAAGCCCATCTGCAACAGAACAGACACAATAGTTACAATGATTATATTTCCTAACTTTAAATCAATAACCATAATAGAATGTAACTTCAAACAAAATATTTCTAACTTGGATTTTGTGAAGAAACACATTTCATTCACTTCAAGCAATATAAAACAATACAAGTAAAGTGAGATCCAATGTACTGCAGAAAATCTTCTGAAAGTGTTGGAAGTCTTCCAGAGATAGTTCACCATAAATATGACCAGACAACATTTGTTGGAAGGTTCAGCAGGATTTATTGTTTCCTAGTGAATCCAGCTGAACCTTTCGATAGATGTTTTCTGGTCATATCTACTGTTTTCTTCAAACAATATGTTTGTTATGAATGCCTATCAGTTTAAATTATCAAATGACAGCAAACGAAACTGGTGTTAAATTCATCACACTGTAGTAACAGCAATGATATCTAGTTTCATATAGAAATCACTGGTGAGTTTTGCTTTAGTAAGTATTGAGATGACAGCTAAAATCACTTATGCAATACTTGAGCAAATAGCACAAATATTTCAAATATTAGGAACTAACCTCAGTGATTGGGGTATCTATAACCCGGTCGTCTCCATATTTTTTCCACAGATTCTTTGTGACCTAAAAACAAATTGCTTTCATTTCAAAACTTTATTTAAAATGTTAAGTTTACTCTGTACATCAAATATTTAAAAATATACTGATAGATAAAATGTATTAACTGATTAAAAATCCACTTACTTTTTCGAAGTTACTTTAAGCAAGTGATATGACCTTAAATTATATTCTCTTAAAATGTTCTACAAATGTTCTACTAACAAAGATATGAGAACATATCTAAAGGATAAATACAAGCAGTTATCTCAACCAATTTGATAAAAAATAAAAAGATACTGGTGCCATATAATCACATAATCAAAATTTTATTGTATTTATTTGAATCAACCAAGGTCAATGTTGATCTTACAGATTTACGATGGAAAAAAGACCCACATCTTTACAAGGCATCTATTTTATTCATATATAAGGAACCTGCCTTGTATGCTCCATCATACTCTGCAACTTCCTCTCCAAGAACAAACACAGAATCATCCTTCTGAATTTCCTCATCAATAGCAGAGTTCAGGGCATCACGTACGGTCATCTGAATTTACAAGGTAAATATTGATGTACTGCAGAGAAGTAGCAGAGACCTGATGAAATTTCAAGTCTTGCAAGCAATTTTTCAATACTTCTCCAGCCAACTTGGTCTAAAATACAAAATCATGAAACTTTTGCCAAAACTCACATCAAATTTTCCTTTGTGTAAGGCTGTAAGAAATGTACCACAGCTAGAAAGATCTTATTTTACATCATTTTACATCAAGATTCATTGTGGAAATACTTGCAATACATTACTAATTTTGAAGTTCTAATGATAGCTAAAAAGTAACTGCTTCACCTGTGTTCCAGCTCGGACCGATGTCTTACTGAAGTTTCGACGAAATATGGATCTGCAGCATGATGACTGTAAAAGCAGGACAGGAAAAAAGACACATAATTTTAAGATGTATATAAAGAACATTTGTACAGTCAGTGTGTCATTGACAGATGAAAGTGAAGAATTAAAATGTGTAAAAGTGCTACAGTGATGCAATATCGACTTTACAGCATTTGTGATAGTAAGGCGGTATCAAAAGTGATTAATAAGTCCCTACCAAACTTAATAGTCCTTGACCAGTAAATGTAGTATGACACAAGGTGTATTAAAAATGGTAATGAATGGAAGCTAACTTAATCAAATGGTACGTGTACTTCGATGATATATATAACTATTTTTGCAATGAAACAGATGGTTAAACCATATTTATTATCAACTAGAAAACAATTCAGTATGAAAACATTAAAACATATTACTAGATGTAGATCAATGCATACAAAGTCACAAGTCGCTGGTAACCAAATATGCACGAGGTACTTATTACAATATATTGCTTTAAAACCTGGTGGGCATAGTCTACTGGAGATTAAGGCAATATAATAAAATCTCAATCTCTAGTACGGGGTTTTCTGACGTTATCTGCGATTTCACTTTTGTCTAGGTCGCGGCCGGACAGCATAGGTGGTCAGAACCCCACGGACAACTCGATCTCAGTTATTCTCACTCTGCCTCTTCGACAAATCACAAACAACTCCAAACGTCATCAGTAAAGGGTAAATATGTTGAACATTGAGAGGACTTTTCCATTTAGGTTGACGAAAATAACAATTTAAAGAGTGGAAATAGAAGAAATATAATATAAACTGCTAAAGCACCTTCAGAAGCCGAACTGCCATCGTAGAGGTCGCCATGTTGGATCACCTTCACGTGATACACCCCATAATTAATTTTGTATCCCGCTTTTTTAAATGTATTATTTTATATTTTCTAACACATCGAAAAATGAATGGATAATGGATTGATAGTGATTATTATTAACTTGTAATTAGCTGCATTTTTAAACTAAAAACAGATGAAAGATTTAATATTACAGCATGTAAACATGGCGGGAAATTCAAACATTTGTCACTGGAATTTTATTCAGTAGTATTCTGGTATTTTTCTTGTTCTGGAAATGGTGATCCATAAAAAAAACGATACAATAAGATATCTCATAGACCAGTATAACATATACGTAACACAGGGACGGACATGAAAAAGTAAGGGGTCACCTGTTCAATCAGGTGGATTTCCCCGAAGCAGAGAGTGATGGGAGAGAAAGGGATACAGAGATGCCGAGGTAGAGAGGAGCCGTCTGCACTATCTGATCTGTTTTTCAATTACGGTTTTGAAGACGATCCCTTGACCTAATTACAAACCTAGTCCAAAACAAAGCACGTCGCAGTAAGAGGATCGGTTAATGACAGAGAGTAACTTGAGGGAATCCTACACAGAATAAATTCCGATATGTCGATAGTATTTTGGAAGTTCATCAAGGTTACTAGTAAATAACCTGTATGGCTAATCGAACCCAAACCTTTGGGTCGGCGTTAGTCACGCCTTTGAGAGAACATTCTGATACGCGCCACCATTTAAAGTCCTATCCGACGGACTGTAGGTAAATCATCATTCCGTTTCCGTCTCCCGGTCTATAAACTGTTCGCTTATCCACACCGTTCCTAGCATCACTTGGCTCTTCACTTTCCGACATTTAAATGGTCATTCTTTGTGATTGTGAGATTAGCACTGAGAGAAGTTGGAGGTGTTTGTAGGAGTTTACTTAGTTGTTGGTGAAATAGACTTGTTACAGGTTACTTATTAACTAAATGAGTGATATGGGATAATTCTAATTTCTTGTGTGCAATTTTGTTTTTTTAATAGCTCTATTTGTCAACCTTTCCTTTTTTCCACTTTACTCTATCCTTATGTGTCTTTTGTTGTCCTCATGTGGACCTAAATTCGTTAATTAAGAAATTGATTTGAATATTGAAATGAAGTGGCCAAGGAGTCTAAAGGCTCAGGTCGATAATAATTTATGGATTTATATTTTAGAAAATAAAAGTGATATAGAAGAATACTTGTGTGAAATTTTGAAATACCACAAGATTGATGTCTTTACCTATGTGTTGCGCATTGAATAATTTTTTAAGTAGGTTTGTTGTTTCCACTTAAGTTTATGGGGGTATGTTACAAACAGGGGAGATAATCCAAGTATAAATTTTAGAACGGAGATTATCATATTTTATTTATATAATTTTGTTAAAAACTCGTGTTAGATAATTTGTTCTATTATGCATAAATAAATACTAGTCAAATAAAAAAGAAGGATATTGGGTTGTTGTTTATTTTTTTTAAATTATTGGAATAAGGCAGTATGGTAATTATGACGTCAATTCCTTGTATCCAATCAGCCTTTTAAATTGTCGTTGTCCACGTGATAGTTTGCCGGTGTCTTTTTCGTCGGAGCACGCCATTTGGTAAGTCTGTGGTCTGTATTTCCGATAATTTCAAATGTTTTTTGGCAATAATCTTATACATGATCAAGCCTGTTCCTATTTATGCATATCGTTGTTAAAATTTTGTCACTTGATCAAATTGATTCGATGTACTTTCAGTCAAAATGGACACAAAGCGGCAAGTTGCGTCGGGTAGATTTATCAACCCATTCAAAGCGAACTGTCAATCATCAGCTTCACCAGGTGAGCCCATCTTTGTATGATGTTGATTACATTGTTCAATGAAAGTGATTTTGATTTATCTTGTATTCGACTTTGGGTGGACTTTTCGTGTTAATGTGTAGATCCGTTGCATTTTGTCTGTACTGATTTTGTGAGGAGTATGTGTCAATTTCATGGTCACTCCAAGGGCAATTTGACCCTACTGTTTTAGAGTTCATCAAATGTTGAGCCTTTACCGGGTCAGAATTGTTTATCACAATTAAAGTGTTAGACAACTACGTTAAGTTCGAATCACAAAAACTGTCACTCGCTTTCAGTCTGAAACCAGGCGTTATGAAAAAAAGTGAAACTATGCCTAATATTGTTTTCTGTCAGTGTATACTAAGATAGGCCATACAGTTCATCACCTCTATTACTTATAAGGCCCTGATCAAAAACTGGAATTGAGAAAAAGAAGAAAAATACAAATGATGTAAGAATTTAGCTTAACATATAAAGCTAGAGATAATAAGATTGGTTAGGTGTCAAAAATCTCGGTTCCACAGAGGATAATGTTACCAAGTAAACATACCAATGTCCAGATCATGGGCTTCTTAAGGATGTTTGACAAGATTAGCCATTCACTTCTTTGACACAAATTTGTACACATTAGAGTACACAAGATAGTTGCTACTTGGCAAAAGGATTTAATTTGTGAAACAGGTAATGGTTGCTGAAGAGGTAAAATGCTGATTTTGTCAGTCAAGACAATTGCTAGGACTGAGTGTAAAGTCCCTAACCATTTCTCTTTTAATGATATTCCTATTGGTAAAGACCAATATATGCCCTTGTTGTATAATGATACTTAAGTATAACATGTTTTTTAAAAACATCACTTCTTGAATGATGCATATAACTCACACATATTACCCTTATGATGTTCTAGCATATGGCAAAAATTTGGGAAATATCTTTTCATCAGGGAAAATGTACCTTTCTTACAATTAACCAACAACCTCACTTAGATGAAGTTAAAATTTCATTCGTAAGATATTGAATAGAAAAAAATTTAAGTTACAAAACAGAGATATCAGGGTCAAGTATTTAGGTGTCATTATCCAGTGTAACCATCATTGTATTTTTCTGCAATGCCATCACAGGCATCACAAGTAAAGCCATTTCTTCCCAAGGCATTTTGAGAAAGCTTTGCCACCAACAAATACACCTCAATAGTATCCAGTAATGATGACATGACACACCATTTAAACTGAAACTTACCTGAAAACTGGAGGAAACACATATGTCAAACAACCTAGCACGATAACATACACAACAAAATAAGAAAAGACTTCTCCATCCTTCCATCTGACTACACCAAACTACATAATCAAACACATGTGAGAGCTTGGATGTGAAATGTTGTTAGTTTGGAGCACTTGATTTGTCTGAAACTAAATGTTCCTGTCAGTTTTATAACTGTTTGTGATTAAAGAGTTTTCTGTATTTGTTTAAATTTCAGAATACAGCTGTGAATTTGGATCCAGCAAATATTTTGCACTCTGTGGGTTTGGCGGTATCCTGAGTTGTGGTATCACCCATACAGCTGTTGTGCCCCTTGATTTAGTAAAATGCAGGATTCAAGTAGATCCAGCTAAGTACAAGAATATTGTCACAGGATTTAAGCTGACCTTGAAAGAGGGTGGGCCAAGAGCTCTTGCTTTAGGATGGGCTCCTACATTAGTTGGGTACTCGATGCAAGGACTCTGTAAATTTGGCTTCTATGAAGTATTTAAGAATGTATACAGCAACATCCTTGGAGAGGTTTGTATGTTTCAAATACTCTTACAGCATACAAAGTATAGCAATATGCAGTTGTGTCTTGGAAATAAATATTTAAACTGGTTAATGATTTTATTGTCAAAGTGAATATATAAAAATGTGGCCATTTACAGTTAATTGGACTTTATTACATACGCTTTACAATTCTGTTGCATTTCAATATCACCAACTCAGTGATTTGTTCATAAAATGTATTGTCACCATTACATAATACTTACTGATTGATGATATAAAATTTACAGGAAAACACATTTTTGTGGAGAACATCTCTATATCTTGCGGCCAGTGCATCAGCAGAGTTCTTTGCAGACATTGCGTTGTGCCCCATGGAGGCTGTAAAAGTCCGTATTCAAACACAACCTGGATGGAGTAGTACTCTACGCACTGGCGTACCAAGGATCATGCAAGAGGAAGGACTTACAGGGTAAATACTATTGCCCTTTGTTAAAACATTTAACATTTGCTGGTAACTGAATGCAAATGATCTGTAGAAAAGGTTATTTGAATGGAGTTTTGACAGACCTAAAGATGTATTGAAATAGTCATTAACAAATTTGAGGCCAGAATGTGGAATAGGTCTGTGACATGAATAGCCTTAAACAGAATTGAAGTTGGAGGGTGGGATAGGTGGTTTAATGGAACAGTCCGTAAATGTTTCATGAATCGATTATAAAATAAGGACTTCATATCCCTTGTTTAATGTCTGGATTGTTGCTGAATTCATTAACCAGTTTCTTTGAAATGATATCTAAAAATATCTAACTTTAGGTAACATTTCCAAGATGTACTCCAATATTCATTAAAAAAACTTCCACTAGAGACAATCTTTAAATCTTCATTATCATATTAATAAATAACCACAATAACACGCTCCTTAGATCCACCCTTGGGACATGTACTCAACACTGGCCTACATGGCAGCACCGCTGTATGGGTCTGGTATTGTTATGTCCAGCAACTTTGTTGGTTGTATGTCGAGGGTGATTGAGTCATTGGCGTGTGACATAAATATACCTCAGTCTTGGGTCCTACACTGACCATGCTGTTTACTAACTGTAATATCTGTGCATGGTCAGTTTGACCTTTGGTTTGGACAGTCGGGATACTGAATGTACATCACTAGATTTACAGTGGCTATTTTTGGCTGGCTCTATACACATAGGACCTCTTCTTACTTCTGTTTTGGAAATCATTTGTTATATCTTGATAGATTACTCGGCTCGTATAATTACTTAAGTAGAGGTTTTACAAGCTCCTGATTTTGGATTTGATTTAATGATTAGATTGGCATCAGTGAATACTGATGATGATCTTCTGTAAATGTCACTGCTATCAGTATACTTAATTTCCTTGCTTGTTTTTCCTTAGTTTCTACAAGGGCCTTGTACCACTGTGGTGCCGACAGATTCCTTACACAATGATGAAATTTGCATGCTTTGAGAGGACTGTGGAGGCACTGTACAAATTTGTTGTACCCAAACCCAGAAGTGAATGCAACAAGGGAGAACAACTGCTCGTCACTTTCGTTGCTGGTTACATTGGTATGAAATTGTTAAGAATTATCAAGAGCCTATTGCATGTTTTGTTTAAACACCTTGCACATAATCCTGTAATATTGACCCAACCAGTTTTTGATCAGCATATTTCCAAAATTATTCAGAAATTTGGAAACATTTTGCTATTATTTCTAAAACCAGATTGATCCAAGTAATGCAAATTTGATATAACTTGTTCCAGTGTAAAGGAAACCAATGACCATTGTATCATTATAATTTTATGCTACCCTGTGTAGGGTTCACATTACCAAGAGGAGGCAACTCCTGCTTGTTTTGTGGTTACCATTACAAAGCAGAGATGTTCATGGGTAACCATGGTGGAAAAACAACTCTTTCAAGTTTATCATTGATATTTCAAAGTGGGACTACTCTTCTATGTATATGGTTGACACTACACAGGGAAGGCAAATGACCATCACTTCACATGGATGGCCAAAGAAGAATCAGTCCATTATCAGACCAATAGCCTGCAAAAGTACAGGACCTAATCTTCAATACTGAACTGAAATGTTGCATTTCAAGATCTAGATCATTTAGGCAAACACAGATAAAAGAAGTCTCCAGCTTCCTTACTGACTCATCCTTTTTATCACTGCCTTTTTCTGAACATAAGGCAATTTTGGAGGCATCATTGTTAAAGTCATGATTACCTTCAATATTAACCATATAAGAAATATTTTTTTGAGGAACAGGAAACACGCTTTGTATGTTTGACCTGAAACCCAGAAGAAATTTTGGACAGAAATCAAATAGCTTTCAATACATTTATTATATGAAATATCTGCATGCAAGATGATAGATACAGTAAAATATCTGATAACCTTGTTGAAAAGAAACATTTTTACTTAAAGATATGTATTAACAGTTACAGAGAAATTGGACATTTTAGTCTTACAATATTTTCTTTTTGAATATTCCAGCCGGTGTATTCTGTGCTGTGGTATCTCACCCAGCTGACACCATTGTTTCCAAACTGAACCAGGACAAAGGCAGCACCGCTGTACAGGTAGCAAAGAAACTGGGCATGAAAGGTATGTTGGAAAGATAATCTCATTTGTTAGAAATTGGTCCAGCAAATTTCAACTGAGGGAGAGTTACATGCTTTTAGTTTTTGTTTATCTATGGCAAAATATTAGATATAGTTGATTTAAGGTATTTTACTTTTAACTCTAAATGGCAAAATTTGTATGTGTAAGACAACCTGTTATAAGTACATTCTTATGTAAGAAGAGTATTCTCTGTAAAATTGGTATTAGTATGACAGTACCTGTACTTACATAGACACTTTTTTGTAATGCATATAACAGGAATGCAGTTATAAGCTTGTGGCAATTATGCTTTAGCTTTTACCATGGTCATTGATCCTTAAATTGACTAAATTAAAAAGAAAAATTCCTAACCAATGCCCTTACATCCGCAAATCATATTTTACAAGTACCACAATAACACGCTCCTTAGATCCACCCTTGGGACATGTACTCAACACTGGCCTACATGGCAGCACCGCTGTATGGGTCTGGTATTGTTATGTCCAGCAACTTTGTTGGTTGTATGTCGAGGGTGATTGAGTCATTGGCGTGTGACATAAATATACCTCAGTCTTGGGTCCTACACTGACCATGCTGTTTACTCACTGTAACGTCTATGTGTGGTCAGTTTGACCTGTGGTTTGGACAGTTTGATGGAGGATCACTTTAGTCATGCTGATATATTGATTACATAACTTTTCACACCAGTGATGTAGATAAATATTCTGATATTCTGATATCAGATTCCTGTCAGACCCGCTCCTGACTTTCGGAGGTTATTCTTTTGTAGGATTATGGATGGGACTTGGACCCAGGATTCTCATGATCGGTACACTGACTGCACTGCAGTGGTTCATCTACGATTCTGTCAAGGTCTACTTCAGACTTCCACGCCCACCACCACCAGAGATGCCAGAATCACTCAAGCGTAAATTGGGCAAGACCGATTAATATGTAGAGGCATTAGGAAAAAAGTGAATTGACATTAGATGTATCATTCAAACTGAAACAACTTCTGTGATGGAACATGAACATTTATTTTGAAGTGATAGTGTAATTTTCTAACATAAGTTTGGAAATATGGCTAGAGTATGATAAGAGATGTATTAACATTTGTTTTACTTTCTGACACTATTTTCCTTAATGGCCTTTCAAAATTGAGAGGTTATTGAACTGTTTTCGTTTCACTTTTGTTGTGTTTTTAGTTAAATTGGAAATTTAAGCATACAGGTTTCTGTTTTGTTAAATGCAGTGTATATCGCAAATAACTTTGTCATCAAGACTCTTGAAAACTATGTTCCATTTACTATTGTGAAACCATTTTAGGAACACAGTTTCTTCTACTGTACATCAAGTTTTCTTCTGTATGCACTAGTTTTGTATGTGAACAGTATATCAGATTTGCAGGTCATTTCATGGGTCAGTGTTTTAACAGACAAGGACTTCAGTATTTATAATAAAAACGTTTTGGAAAAGGTGATCTGCCATATTTGTTTTTAATCACCATTATATTTACTAATGTCTAGGTTCTTTTGCTATCCCTGGGACCTACTAATTGTTGGTGTGGTTTTCAAGTGTACATTTGTGAGAAGGAAAAGTATGGAGAATTGAGCTCAAATAAATAAATAACCACTGAAATTTTTATATTGGTTTTCCTTTTTCCATTATTCAGGAAACAATTTGACCTAATTTTTATATTCTTGTCAAAATTTTTGACAGGACAATTTTGAAGGGTTGAATTACAATATGGCATTGTCCATCCATCGGCCATAAACTTTAATTTGCCCCGAAATCTCTCACTATTTTCAACTGGTGGTTTCTGAACTAGGTATTTTAGAGAACCATGACAGGAAGTTGTTTTTCTAAATTCTGCTTGTCTTTCATAATAATAATCTTGTCCGAAGATCTCATTTCTGTTTTCTATTGATATCTTTTGAACTTTGTAGGCTAAATCATCCTGAGGGAAAGATGCATTTTTCAGAAAAATCGTTTAGATTTGACTGTATTTCGAAGAGTTACTGCCCCTTGTTTTCATGTCTAGAGATCTCTCTTTTTTCTGAGGTGACCAATTTCTTTCAGGCTGGGTAGGTTTAATCATGAGATGAAGTTGTTTTACAACACAACGGTTTGATTCAACAATATCAAAGTAGTTATTGCCATTATTATCATATGGACACAAGTTCCGCCCAGCCATTGCAGAGCCAAATATGAACACGAGTTTCATTAAGTTGGGGAACAGCCATAATATTGACATGAGTTTCTGTGATATAGCGAACAGCCAGAACATGGACAGCAGTTTTCTGTAATACAGCAAATAGCCAGAATACTCACAAGTTTCTCTAAGACAGCGAACAGCCATAATATGGACATGAGTTTCTCATACATGACTTGAACCTAGATAGGAAAAAGTCAGGATATGGACCAAGTTCTACCAGGACTTTAGTACTTACCAAATGGTCCAAATAGTCTTATGGGTCACTCCCTCTACAAGTTGAAAAGTGACTTTATTTGCTTGAAGATATCCAATATCAGTTGAATGAATAACTGGTGAAATTTATATCTTTTAAAGTTTTAACTTTATAAAATGTTGTATTTTCCCACAATGAATATTTTTCATTAGCAACTGATAATCAGGTAGTGATAATACTAAGTTCATAGAGCTTCTGGTATTTGTGCATATAGAATGATGAAAAAAAACTCCCAGAATGCTTTTTAACCCTTTTAAAACATCTGTTCAATACCCAGGTCAGAGCTGGTGTGATAAGTAAGGGGAGACTACCAGGATTATACTGAAATTGAGAAAAATATATAGTATAACCTTCTCCGGGTCTGTTATTTGCTTCTAATCAGCCTTTTTCACATCCATGATTGTATGTCATTTGTCATCTGTTAACACTTTGAAATCTGTGGCCAATGGCAAACTCATTGGAACAAGTTATATCCCCTAGGGGATTTATAGAGGAGAAATCTGAGACATTGAGGCTTAACTGTATTATGGAATCAATGCTGTTCATGGATGGAAGGGATCCGAGGCAATTTTTGAAAACTAGATTTCAATACGCCAGGAATTCCAACTTCTTGAGGATAAGTATACCAGTTTCGGGTAAATGTACATTTAAAAAACTTTAATGTAAGTTACCTTTGTAGGGATATGATAATTGATAGGTGTTTTTGATACACCAGTTGGTAAAACATGAACCTATGCAACCTTAGTTGAAGATGCGTCCTTCCATTTGTAGTTTAGTGTTGTTAAGAAATGGACCAAAATTCATTCAGCTCTAGGAAGTTCTTGGCTGTTAATGTGGTGAAATGTGTTGTGGGGAGTAGGAGGGAATTGGCATAACAGTCAAATACATTTCAAGGATGGAAAGGCGCTAGGGTATTTTGCCAAATTTGAAAGACTTTCTTTCCATCAGAAATGACCAAATCATGAGGATTGGTTAAGATTGGCTGAAATTTCAACAATTGCTTTAAAAAAATAAAATAAAAAAAATCGAATCGTCCCCGGGTGGGCTTGAACCACCAACCTTTCGGTTAACAGCCGAACGCGCTAACCGATTGCGCCACGGAGACCGAATGAACGATGTAAAAAAAATTGATTTCACATTCTCCAGATAACTTAGGAAGCATATTTACATGAACTGTCCTAAATGTTGATTTGACAATCAACAGGGACAGGCTAAAATCAATGGTTATATTTTTATCATTTTTAAATGCTATTAATTTTTCGATGTATACATACACCAAAGTGTATCCCTAATCACTCAAAAAAGAAAGAAAAATACTTCTCTCCGATGAAATATTCTGCTGTGTATGTTCTTAATGTCCATTACAGCTACACAGCAGGTACTCAGTGGAAAAGCTCGTGAAAATATCGTTGAACATTCAAAAGTTTGCCACCATCAACAAACTCGTAGAAACTCCTAGGTAACGAAATCTCAGGGGCTGACACACGGTGGACAATTTTAAGCACTTGTTAATGAGTCCCTGTCAAAATGAAAATACATATTCAATAGTAGTGTAGTTTCTTTAATGATATATCTATAACTATTACATATGTATTGATTCGACCATTCCGTGCAACATAGACAAACGCAAAATTAATGACATTTTTAGTGCCACAGATTTACAAATTACTTACTACGATATAGGGTAATACATGTATTTCAGTTGTGAATAGCTCAAACTCGCGTTTGTTGTTAAAAGAATCTTAGTAAACAGGTTATATTTGTCACAAAAGATCTTTTTAGAAAATTGAGATTTCTACTCTACTGTTTGTTTTAGAAAGATTTATTAGGATTTTTTGTTTGTTTTTAGAAAAAAATTGTGTACAAAGACAACAACGCTAATTACCTATAATCAGAGTTATAACACATAAATGTTATATACGTCTCTGCTCTAATTGATACTGTATTTCAATTCAAAATATACCATAATACTATATTGACTGCAGTAATGTGTGAAATCATGTAGGACATAGACTCGGACGATAAGAAATTAGCCTATGAAAGAGATGACTATAGTTCACACCTGTCCAGGTAAACGACAGGGATTCTCAGTTGGGATTTTATTGGCGCGTCCTTCGAAATAACTGACCATATGCACTCATATAATAAAATGTGACGTTTTTATTCCACAGATATAGTTGACCTGGATTGTAACACTCTGAGTTTTATGATAATAATTGAAGGTAGTGGTTTTTTGTTTGTGATTTTGAATATGGATATTTATTATATCACGTATTTAAATTCGAAATAAGTCCGACATGTTATGTACCGTATTATTACGGACTAGTAGATGTGTAATCTCTATGTAGGCCACAAAAGATACCTATATTATATAATCATGGCTGCACGGGGCTCTGAGTCCAAGTGTGATAAAGTCACTCATACATGACTTGACTACATTTTACCTGTGCGCTCACGTGCCTACGACTCGACTAGCGTTAAGGGGACATAACCCATGCTATTCCGTAGAAACAAATGTAAATGTTGCAAACGAACCCAATAGCGTCAAAATCTTACCATATTTCAGCTTCTTCGTGAAAATATTGCTACGTAATTTGTTATTTTAAGCATGAATACCTCTCGATTGGTTCGTTTTATTAGTAGCACTGAATTTTAAGTGAAACTGTGTACAGTGTATACCCACAAAGACGATTCCATGGCACCAATATAAGAAATAGACACAGTAGAACCAAACTATGCATTAAACTGTACCTTACAACAGTTTCGTCTTTATTCCTATCGTCAGTGATATCACCGAGGGGCTAAGATTTTCAAGCCCAAGAAGCGACTGATGCAAATCTTTAAAGTTTTTGTTCGAAGTTTGTCCGTCAGTTGCGAAAATCGTGACAATGGTAGCTGACTCTTGAATATCGAATCAACCGCGACACATAAAAATCATTGGTTGGGGATTTAGGGTTGTTGCTGTCCAGAAATGGAAACTTTACAACAGGGAAATTGATAGCATCAGTCGAAAACATCTTTTTAAAATTTTACCGTTAATGTATTATTTTCAAAATGCATAGATCGTATTGATATTTTCTACACCTTTTTTTGTTTGTTTTTGTTTTTGTTTTTTTTCTTCCTTGACAAAAATATTTATTATTCCGATCAAATATGGCCTCCGGCTTTGGAGCCCGAAGGCTCCTCACACTACATTTAACAACACTTTTAAAACGATTACAACACCATCTGGTGTCAATCTCACAGTTGGTGATTTATCTGCTGAAACACATTCACTGTTATCATATTGATAAAACATAAGATTTCAAGCCCTCTGAGTAATTTAAGGAGTTAACTGGCTTCAACAGTTTGTTGTCGGTAACTAGATATTTCTTGAAAAGAACATACTTTTTCTCCATCTGGTAGTAGACTTTGATATAAACAACTTTTGAGAATACAGAAACATACTACCCCAACAAGAAGTTGATGAAAAAGAAATTAGTATGTTGAACGTTTTGATAAAATCCAGAAGTACAAGTTTTCCTACGAAATTTTAGTTTAAACATATTTTATTGCCAAAATATTGCAAGAGGATTGGGCACAAGTTCCAAGAACTTATAATCGCCCGCTCCTAATTGTTAAACACATACATACGAAATATCTGCTAAGTAGCTTTAATCAGCGTCTAAGAAAAGTTTTTTTTAATAAGGTTTGAACACACACACACACACACACACACACACACATATATATATATAAACAGGTGTTGCATCGTCCCTATCTCTGAATTGCAAGTTCTGAATGAGCTTATCGGTTGAGCCACGGAAAACAACACGAATCAGCTTACAGATCAAACTTACCTGATGATAAAGGTACGCCTCAGGTGACGTGACTGACATTTATATGTGTGTTTCAGTGATGTCACTTGAATGACATTAATGACAATTTTCATAATAAACTATACTATGTCTTCATATTATAGTATGTCGTCTCCGTGGCGCAATCGGTTAGCGCGTTCGGCTGTTAACCGAAAGGTTGGTGGTTCAAGCCCACCCGGGGACGTTAGTATGCCTTTTTGCAAAAAGGAATTGCTTCATAAATCACACGACAAAAACATAATCAAATAATTTACGGTTTACCCTTATAATCCAAGCACTTAAGAAACAAAGAAAAGCGCGTGAAATAATCCATAAACAC